GAGCCAAAAAAAACCCCCCCAGACCAAAAAAGGTGCAATCTTCAATGCTTGCTTGGCCAGACGCTACTCCACTTCAAAAAGCTTTGGTACCAAGCTCAATTGGGGCCCACTATCCACAAAATTTAAACCCCTAAACTCTCAAATCTGGGCAATAAAACACATATAAACAGAGAGCGAAAATTGCCAGTGGGGTGATTTATGCAAGGCCAACAACAAACTCAAGTACATTCGATTTCAAGAAACGAAATTTGTTAAAAAAAGGTCCTTGTACAATTATGTGGATTAAAGTAAAGGTTTGGAGGAAAGTGGGTCTAATTAGCGTGTATGCACCCGGGAAGGAGGAATGAGAGGGAGAAAAGGGGATTTTGGGAGATGTTTTGTGAATGTTAGGAGCCTTTTAACCAAGTGGGGAGTAATTGTGGTAGGGGATTGAATGCTAAAGTAGGAGAAAAAATTTTTTTGGAGGGTGTGGTAGGTAAGTTTTTGGGGGGCCAGGTGTAAAAGATAAATGGGAGCCCTTTGATTGAACTTTGTATAGAAAAAGGGGGTTTAGTTATAGGGTAATACAAATTTTAAAAAAAAGAGGATAAATAAGTTTTACACGATATGATGTAGGGCGAAAGACAGTAGTTTTTTGGATTATGTATTGGTAGATAAAAAGATGTTGAGTAGATTAGGATGTACTGTTTTAGAGGGGGCCCCAGATAATCAGTCATTTTTAGTTGTAGCTCACTGAGAGTAAAAGGTGTGGGGTACAAGGAGAAAGAGCATCGGGAAGAGAGGGTGAAAGGTTTTTTAAAAATAAAGAGGGGGGCAGTTAGGGTAAGATATAAACAGCTATTGGGGGATAGATGGGCTAAGAGGCATAGGCAATGGGGTCGAAGGGTATGGGGGGAGGTTTAAAAAAAGTGTGTTTGAGTGTTCAGCAGAAGTTTGGGTTTAAAGGAAAGTGGGTGCAGGAGGGAAGAGGAGCGATTGGTGGAATGATGGTAAGAGGAGTAAGGGAGAAAAAGTTAACATATGAGAAGTTTTTTCAAAGTAGAAAGTGATGCAAGGAGGGAAAGAGTATATGGAGAAAAAGAGAGAAAATTAAGGAGTGGTGAAGCAATGTAAAAAAAGAGCAAAAGAGAGGTGGGGGAGATGTTTCAAAAAATTTTTTTGAAAAAAGAAAAAATTTTGGAAGGGGGGATTACAAGTTAAAAAAGCTAGAGAACAAATGGGTTTGTCAGTTAAAAAAATAGGAGAGGAGGTTATTAAATGGGAAATTAGAGGTATTGGGAAGATGGAGGAATATTTTGGGAATTGTTAAATGTTGATGAAGATAGGGAAAACTTTTGGGTTTCGTGTATAGGGCAAGGAGGAAAAAACTTTGTAGGAGTGGGAAGAGCCGTTGTGATGTGGGGGAGTTCGTGAGGAGTAGGTTTTAAAAGAAAGGGGGGTAAGGCAGCCGGGATTGATGGGATAAAGTAGAAATGTTAAAAGCAGGTGGGGATATTTTTTGGAGTGGTTTGGTGCAATTTTTTAATAAATGTATGGAAAAAAGGGGGAAGGGACCTAGGGAAATTTGGGGGGCATGCATACCAAAAGGCGGGGTTTAAAAAAAGGGGCAAAAAAAATTGGGGGGGGAAGCTGTATTTACTGGTAAAAGTTTATGGGGAGTTATTTGAAAAATTGGTAAGCGGAGTTATAACGTGCAAGGAGGGTTGGAAATGGGGGGTTGGGAAAGGGTTTACGTAAAACTTTTTAAATGAAAAAGTATTTAGATAAAGGCTAAAAAGGGGTTTGTGGCATTTTTAATTTGGGGGAAACAAGACAGGGGGGATAGGGGGGGTTTTCAGGGCAAAGGTGTAATAGGACAAACCCAAAAATTTTTTGGGATTAACTAAAAGGGAAAAGGGAAATTTTTTTTCCCGAAAATAGGCCTTTGGGGGTGTTTGTCACCGTGGTTTTTAAATATTTATAGTGGGGTTGTAAGGTTTTAAGGGGGTCTTGGCAAAGGGATTTGGAGTTTTTTAAAAGTAAAGAAACCCCCAACAAAGTGGGGAGTTTTCAAGTGTTTTGGGTTAAGGGGGAAAATTCTGAAAGAAATTGGGGAAAAAGATTGTTGGTAATTGGTAGGGGGAAAGAAGGGGAAAATTTTTTTCAGGAAAAGTAGGTTAGAAAAAAAGTTTTGGTTTTGAAAATTTAAATTAGTTGGGGGGAAAAGAGTTGGAGGAGGGTGAGTTTTAGATATTTGGGGGTGGACGTGTTTTGGGGAGGGTCATGGTGAGGTTTAAAAGAATTTATGGGGAAAAAAGATGGTGGTTTAATTTTGGAGTTTTGAGAAAAGAATTTTTTGGGGCAAAAAAGGGGAAAGTATGAGGTAAAAAGTTTTTGGGGGGTGAAGGTGGGGTATGAAAGGAGGAGGAGAAGGTGGGGGGTGGAGATGTATTTTTGGGAAGGGGTGGAATTTAAGCGAAATTCGAAAATTTGGAATTAGGGGAGGGGGGAAAAAAAGGTAAAAGGGTGAGGGGGTTTTGGGTGGTTGGACAGAAAAGGGGGGAAGGAGGGCGAAAAGAAAGTTCAAGGGTTTTTAGTCGTTGGGAAGGGAAAGGGGGGTGGGGTTTTGGGAGGAAAGGGGGGGAGGGAGGGGGGGGAGGTTTTGTTGGAGGGGCTTGGATTAAATGCGGTGGGGGTTTGAAAAAGGGAGGAAATGGAGGACAAATGGGTTTTTCTTGGGGGGTGGGAGGGGAAAGTTTTATGGGGAAATTAGGGAAAAGGGGAGGCGGGCTTGAGTTGGGGGATGGGAAGACGTGCCTTATTGAGGGGGGGGGTGTTTGTTGGTTTTTTTTAAAAATTGTGTAAAGATTTTTGGGAACCCCGTGATGGGAGTGTGATGGTTGAAAGTTTTTTTTTGGGACCCTGCCCCGGTTTTGGGAAGGGTTTGGATAATAAAAAAAAAAAAAAAAGGCCGACTGCCAAGATGGGGGAGGTCGGGTTTTTTTCAAAACCCGAAGGAGGGAAGAAGTTGGCCCAAAAAAAAAAACTGGGGTATTAAGGGGCAAAATTTGGAAAAAAGGAAAGAGTGTTTTAAAGTTGTTTTTGAAAGGTTTTTTCTCTTTTGGCCCCCTTTTTGGCCCTTTTGGGAAAAGCCGTTTCCTTTGTGGTTTTTTATTAATTAAATTTAAAAAAAAAAATTAACTATTAAAAAAAAAAAAATTTTTTAATGTAATAGTAAGTGTGTTTTTAGGTTTTATTCAAAAGGAAGCTTTGTAAGAGCCACATCCTGTCCAAAAAACTTGGAACCCTTAGGTTTAGGGCAAAAAATATTAAAAATATTATAAAGGTATTATGTCTTTAAAAATTTAAAAATTAAGACCCCTTGATTTTCTAAATTTCCTAGGGAAAGTTCCTTGGTCCCTTTTCCCCTTTAAATCATGATTTTCCCAAAACCAAATGAAACCAAATTTTTTTTTAGGGCACAATTATTTCCCACCCAAACTTGGGACCAAAAAATTTTAATAAAATTAAAAAAATTTGATATCCTACCTTAACCTAAAAACTTTTATACGTTTGGAACCAAAAAAGGGATTGCACAAAAATGGGGCATTAAAAGGTTTATTGAAGGCATAATGACAAATTCCATCTACCCCTTACAACCGGTTTCAAATTCCCATTAAAAAATATCAAAATGGGGACCCTTGATACGATAGTTCCAAATCGCCCCCTCCTTTTTACTTTTAATATCTTCCCAAATCACAATGCCATTTTGCTTGGGGCAACAGCAAATTCCCCCCAAAAGCCCAATAAAACCAAAAAGAAACTCTAAAATTTCCACCTCCAATCTACAAAAAAAAACCCCACTTTCAAAACCAAATCACACTATTAGTACATTCCCTTAAAATTTTCTTCAATCTACATTTACAGAACCATAAATTCCAATATTAACCCTGAACTAAAATGCTTTCTTGATAGTTGTGACAGGACCCATAGGCATAATACCAGACACAAACATCTCTATGACATTCCTCGTGTCCAGGTAAATCTACATACACAAAAATTCAACGTACATAAAAGGGCCTAATATCTGGAACTCCCTGCCTGAAAACTCTAGAACTGCCGACTCAACCACCATTTTCAAAAGCACCATTAAAAAACACCTTATCTCCCTAACACATCCCACCAGTGGCTAACCACATGAAAACTACCTTAGCTTACACATATCCAAAACAAAATACAAATACACTTATTTGATATCTGTGACTTCCCCTAATTTACACAAATGACTGTCAACATAAAATTCTGAATATAGTTTTTGCTACATAATTCTTAAGCTAATCATAAGATTGTCTAAGACACTCCATTATAGGAGCTATAATAGAAACTGTATCATGCCAAGATGAGACCATTCCCATTAATTGATAAACTAATTGTTAATTTTTTAAATGTTTTGAACTACTGCACTTTTGTAAATCTAGTTAATCACTACAGCTACCTCTCTTTATGCCAGTATGATTCATAACCTGCATCAATATAGAGTAAGAAATAGTATTAGTCTGCCCGAAATGCCTAGACATAACCTAGGCATACTAGTGGCCTTCTTTGTAATAAGTATTTTATTTTATAATATGTAAATCACACACTGTAATCTACACAGAGAAACAAACATTTGAATTTGAATTATATGCCTTTTTAGGCCTACCTATATTGTTCACTTAATATAAGATACTGTAAACATTTTATCAGGCTATTATATGCATTTGAAAGTGAAAATACTCTATGATTCACTTTACAGCGATTTTCATTTTACAGCAGAATCCCAGGACCTAACCTGCTGTATAAGCAGGGCCCTTCTGTAATTGCTTTATCTTTGACAGTGGACAGTACATATATTATCTTAATATTTGCGGCTCTCAGTTTCTCACTTTGTTGCCAATGCTTATAATGTATTGTGTTAGTGTCAAACTGCAGTGAGAACCTGTATAAGAATTGTTATATATTTTACAGGTAATATAAAACTCTTTAGTTACAAAGCTTTATTTACATAAACAAAAATACTGCATAAAGTTTAATATTTACAACTATATAAATCCATCAAAACAGAATTCAAAATATGTGAATTATTACTCATATCAATATTGCATTAAAGGAGAGATTTCACATTCATTCAGACTATTTCTTGACTATAAAAGGAGAATCAAGATCCAAATGAAATATTTACCATATGCATCTGTTAAAAGCACATGAACTGCAACCTAAAGGGAAGTTAGCTAACCGTTCTTAGGCAAGGTAGAACAAATCCACCAAATTGCAGAGGAACTTATGTCTGTTTCTGTTAGAAGTATGAGTGTCAGAACTTTAAATATCAACAAACTATTCCTAAATTTTGAACCACTGCTTATGACATTAAAGGAGTACAGTATGCAGATATTTTTTTATATAGTTGTAAATTAGAATAACTCTGCATTTATTATTTTAACACACTGGCAGTCTCCCACCAAGGTAGGGAGACCCGAAAAGCAGGAAACTCTTTCACCCTCATTTATTCAGTCACTGTCTTACCAGAAACATATTGACATCACATTTCAAATGACCTTCTGAACTGCAACATCCCATTCCTTCTTCAGTTTGCATGCACTGCATTTCCCACCTCTGGTTTTCTGGGTTATTATTATTACAGACACAAATAATTGCTAACCCCGTATGGTTGATTCAATGTTCTGAATACATGAGACTGGAATGATTCGAGATTTTCCACTCTCATCACACTATTAATCCTTGATGGCTTGTTGAACTTCTTCACTACGGTGTGTGCCATCACAAAATGGAGGATTTCTGGACTGCTTACAGTTGCAGAGCCACACCTCTTTAGTTTCTGGGGCTTTAAACACCAGACACTTAAGTTTGATTTTCAGTTGTGTATTCAAGTGTGTACCATCACACATGGGCTGCAAGTGTAAAAAATAAACATTAGGATTATTGTTATTGTATTCATGGAAAGAGTAAAACCTGCAAGGGCCATACAGCTCTGCACAGCAGAAAAAGAAGAGATGCAGGGAAAGCAGTAAATGATGGAGGTGGTTTTGAGGGAAGAGCATTAACTGAAAGAAGGCAGTCCACTGACAGTTTGGAAATATATATATATATATATATATATATATATATATGTTTGTATGTATGTATGTATGTTGTGTGTGTGGGGGTGTGTGTGTGTGTGTGTGTGTGTGTGTGTACTCACCTATTTGTACTCACCTATATGTGGTTGCAGGGGTCGAGTCCTAGCTCCTGGCCCCGCCTCTTCACCGGTTGCTACTAGGCCCTCTCTCTCCCCGCTCCATGAGCTTTATCAAACCTCGTCTTAAAACTGTGTATGGTTCCTGCCTCCACTACGTCATTTTCTAGGCTATTCCACTGCCTTACAACTCTATGACTGAAGAAATACTTCCTACTATCTCTCTGCCCTCATTTGTGTCTTCAACTTCCAATTGTGGCCTCTTGTTTCTTTTGTTCCCCTCCCTGGAACATCCTGTCTTTGTCCACCTTGTCTATTCCACGCAGTATTTTATATGTCGTATCATGTCTCCCCTGACCCTCCCGTCCTCCAGTGTGGTAGGCCGATTTCCCTTAATCCCTTTTTTCATAGGAAAATTCCCCTTAGCTCTGGAACTAACCTTGTCGCAAAACCCTTTTTACTTTCTCTAGTTTCTGACGTGCTTTATCAAGTGCGGGTTCCAAAGGTGCTGCATACTCCAGTATGGCCTGAATACACGGTGTACAGTGTCTTGAATGATTCCTTTAAGGTATCGGAATGCTGTTCTCAGGTTTGCCAGGCGCCCATATGCTGCAGCAGTTATCTGATTGATGTGTGCTTCCGGAGACATGCTCGGTTTTTATACTCACCCCAAGATCTTTCTCCTTGAGTGAGGTTTGCAGTCTTTGGCCACCTAGCCTATACTCTGTCTGTGGTCTTCTGTGCCCTTCCCCTATCTTTATGACTTTGCATTTGGCAGGATTAAATTCGAGAAGCCATTTGCTGGACCAGGTGTCCAGTCTGTCCAGGTCTCTTTGAAAGTCCTGCCTGGTCCTCATCAGATTTAATTCTCCTCATTAACTTCACATCATTGCAAACAGGGACACTTCTGAGTCTAACCCTTCCGTCATGTGTGTGTGTGTGTGTGTGTGTGTGTGTGTGTGTGTGTGTGTGTGTGTGTTGTGTGTGTGTGTGTGTGTCTGTGTGTGTGTGTGTGTGTGTCTGTGTGTGTGTGTGTTGTGTGGTGTGTGTTGTGTGTGTGTGTGTGTGTGTGTGTGTGTGTGGTGTGTGTGTGTGTGTGTGTCTGCTGTCTGTCTGTCTGTCTGTCTGTCTGTCTGTCTGTCTGTCTGTCTGTCTGTCTGTCTGTCTGCATGCATGCATGCATGCATGCAAATGTTGGACCATCAGAGAAAAAAGAGGAAGGAGGATACAAAGTAAACATGTTGAGGCATTGGAGAAACAACACCAAAACAGGTTCAGTGTTCTACAAACTAATGGAAATTCAAGTGTTGTATAAGTTTGAGGATTGAGTAGTATGCTCAGTCACAAGGTACAGAGACTATTTTCGAGTATACACTGATAAAAGGGTGCTTCTAACATTATATAACCTAGTCCTGTTTAAAAATCTTTGATGATCCATTGTATTTACATTACAAAAACCATTTTTAATAAGACTGTGAACTGGCCCAACTGTTGATGCAAAACTTTGTTTTACAGTACAGTAATGCCAATGCTAACTCAGGTACAAGGAATTATGTATACTCAAGAGTATACATTTCATTAATGCAAACACAAATTTTACACTTTCAGAATATAATAATTCTTGAGGGAACTGAGAAAGACAACTATATCCCTCACAGGTGTGAGCCAGTCACTTTTCCATTGAACTACAAACCCTTTCAGGGTCCGTCCCGTAGATCTATGGCTTTATGTTCAGGGTCCAAACTGTAGATCTACGCCATGAGCTCAACTCACTCTGATAAGCTGTGAGTGGTAAATTTGGGCCTAGATATGAGAGAATACATCTATGTGGTATGTGTGCACCACATAAAACAAATCCTGCAGCACACAGTGTATAATGAGAGAAAAAAACTGAGACCGTGATTTTCAATTAAAACAGCGACCTTGCAGTGTTTTTTCGTATGTTTTTTATAGTTGTATTTGAGATTTCTTGGTCTCGCTTGATAGAATGGAAGATATATTACAGAAGTAGAGATGATTTTTATTGGTTTTAGTACTGGAAATGGCTTGAAATTGAGCTCAAAGTAGCGGAAATGTTAATTTTTTGTCGATGTTCAAGAGTAAACAAACGACCTCACACGTCTAATACACGCCAGCTGGTGGGTCTAATATACATTCACAAATGTGATGATGATATTTATACAATTATTACAATTGGTTTGAATAAAAATTCATTATGTGAATAAAAAATCAAAATGGAATTCATTTGTAAAGCCTGAAAACATAACTAATGAGCAGAGGAAATGTTAGTTTAGTGCCAGGAATGCCTGCATTGTTTATTCTGGACCCTATTTTGAAATTGGAATATTTTGAACTTTGTGTTAAATTGGCCAAATTACCAATTTCCGATCACTTTATTTTGTAGTTGAAACAGTTGACTGGGCGATTTCTTGTGCTCAATCGATAAAATAAAAGTAATACTAGTGAAATAGCTAAGAATTTGGTTGACTGGAATAATGTAATTGGCCTAAAATTGGAATCAAAGGCGGCAAAATCGCCGATTCGTAAATATCACTGACACATCAAAATTCGTGAGAGCATAATTTCGTCAATTTTCCATCAAATTTTGTACTTTTTGTTTTATTACCTTCAGAAAAAGATTCTCTACCATTTCAAAAGAAAAAATAACAAAATTTTGTTTTTGAAAATTCTTGGGCACTGGTGCACCCTTTGAAATTTGGCCTCTGGACCCTGAAAGGGTTAAGCATTTAAATAATCATTACCAGATCCCTAACTTTAGTCTTTGGGGTGCGACAGGCTCTACTGTTGCTCCAAATTACCCTGGAATTTCAAGAACCTCATAAAAAGAATAATTATGCTATTCACTTGTTGAAATTTTGTTAATTTTACTAACCTGTGATTTGCTTTGTCCACAAGCACACCACAAGTACTTTTTGCCTGCTTTTATTGTAATTCTAAAGGGTTTTTTGTCATAAACAATTCCCTTTTCCTTTTGATGAAACTCCAGCTGCCACAGTCTTTCTTTCAATTCTATGTCAGGGCCTTTAATGATTTTTCTATATGCAACAGCACTCTGAAAAAAAAGGCAAAAAAAAAAAAAAACTAGTAAAATTTAAAAAGATACATACAGTAGGGCCCCACTTATATGGCAGATTAGGTTCCAGGCTACTGCCGTAAAGAGGAAACCGCCGTAAAGTGGAACGCCCTTTTTTCCACTTATAAATTCATATAAATGCTAGCTAACAAGTTTACACTAACATATATTGAGTTAGCAATAGAACTAGGCATTAAAAACAATAAAAAAGTAAAATACACATATAGTACGCTCATTACTTACCTTAAAATATTTGTAGTCTTAATGTAGGGTGAGATGAGTAGTATTTCTTGTAAGAAATCAAGTGCAGTATGTATGGTAGCCATCCAGGCTACCATAGATGGATTAATGAAAATGTGTACATTAACGTAATATATGACATTCAATGAGACTCGGTGATTAATATTGAGTATTATCATCATTACTAATATAGCGTCTCGAGACATAAGACACTCTTACTGATTTTAATGTGTACCTGCATGCCACCACAGTGTGTAAGTACAGTGGACCCCCGGTTAACGATATTTTTTCAGTCCAGAAGTATGTTCAGGTGCCAGTACTGACCGAATTTGTTCCCATAAGAAATATTGTGAAGTAGATTAGTCCATTTCAGACCCCCAAACATACACGTACAAACGCACTTACATAAATACACTTACATAATTGGTCACATTCGGAGGTAATCGTTATGCGGGGGTCCACTGTATATTTAGATACAGGTATACATAAGTATAATTATTATGTATAAAATATGAAATAACTTTTAAAAACACTTGAAATTTTGGAAAGTTTCCAGACATAATGAAGAGAAGTGGTGCTCACAGAGCTCACAGAGAATGTAAACAAACTGGTTGGGGGCGCAGTGACTGTATTAGAAAGTCAGGTGGGGGTAGCTGTATTGTGAGTTTTGGTCATAATTTGAAATGTCTGTATTAGCAGAACACCATAAAGCAAAATGCTGTAAAGTGGGGCTCTACTGTATACCCAATGAGATTTTTATCTTAAAGAGTTAGTACAGGATGACCATCACCAATTCAGCTTCATTGGGACCTGTAGGGTGCCAGATTAGTGATTTTGCCAGAATACAGAGTAGTGAAGTTAGAATACACTTTACCCAACAGCGGTATTTATGCCTCGGTGATTTCACCAACTTTATGCCCTATCTTTGGCCCACTCCATTGTTCCAGTCTACCAAATTCATAGCTATTTCACTAGTGTTCCTTCTATTCTGTCAATTGAGTACAAGAAACTTCCCATTTATCTATTTCAACTACCTAATAAAGTGGTCTGAAATCAGTAATTTGGCCAATTTCACACAAATTTCAAGAAAGGGTCCAGAATAAACAGTGCAGACATTCCTGGCACTAAAATAACATTTTCTCTGTTCATTAGTCACGTCTCCAGGCCATTCTTATATTATGCTTACTTTCCATTTTGAATTTTTATTCACACACAACATAGAATTACTGTTATGCAAACTACTGCATTATTGTAATGCAGCCTCTCCTCACTAAGCGACGTACTCATTTACGGATGACTCCAGCTTACGACAGGCTCTCTGACCAGTATGCATACTTAACCCTTTCAGGGTTGGTGCCGTACTAGTACGGCTTGCACGCCAGGGTTGGTGCCGTACTAGTATGCATAAATTCTAGCATTTTCAAATCCAGCGAGAGAAAGCTGGTAGGCCTACATATGAAAGAATGGGTCTATGTGGTCAGTGTGCACAGTATCAAAAAAAAATCCTGCAGCACAAAGTGCATAATGAGAAAAAAAAAAACTCCGACCGTGTTTTTGGTTTAAAACAGCGACTTTGCAGTGTATTTTCATATGCTATTTATGGTTGTATTCTAGTTTTCCTGGTCTCATTTTATAGAATGGAAGACATATTACAGAAATTGAGATGATTTTGATTGGTTTCACAATGAAAAGTACCTTGAAATTGAGCTCAAAGTAGCAGAAATGTTCGATTTTTGCCAAAATTCAAAGGTAAACAAATCATGCCATGCATCCAATACACGCCAACTGGTGAGTCTAATATTCTTACACAAGTGTGCTGATATTATTTGTACCATTCCTACACTAATGCAATAGTCTGCATAACATAAATCTTCTATTTTTTGTGAGAATAAAAATTCAAAGTGGAAAGCAAAAGAAATGTAACAGAGGCCTGGGGACGTGAGTAATGAACAGAGGAAATGTTATTTTAGTGCCAGGAATGTCTGTCTTGTTTATTCTGGACCCTATTTGGAAATTGGCATCTTTTGAAATTTGTGTGAAATTGGAAAAATTGCCAATAGTTGAAATCGGTAAATGGATGGTTTCTTGTACTCATTCGATAGAAAAAATGGAGTTCTAGCGAAATAGGTATGATTTTTGTTGACTGGTACATTGGAATTGGCCGAAAATAGGGCTCAAAGTGGGTGAAATCGCTGATGCGTAAACATCGAGACCGCTAGCTTCACGAGAGCATAATTCTGTAAGTTTTCCATCAGATTTCACACTTTTGGTGTCATTATGATCAGGAAAAGATTCTCTATCATTTCATAAGAAAAACTTATTTTTTTATTTTCCGAAAAATTTCCGACCCTGCGAACAAGTTTTAGGGGGGGCCTGCTGACCCTGAAAGGGTTAAATAATGTATATTAGAGCTGATTTCCTCTATTATGTTTAATACAGTATACAGTACACTACTGTATAAACATTTAACCCTTTGACTGTCGCAACCCCCAATCCTGAGGTGTCTCCTGGTGTCGCAAAATTTCAAAAAAAAAAAATTATTTTTTCTTATGAAATGATAGAGAATCTTTTCCCGATTGTAATGACACCAAAAAAACGAAATTTGATGGAAAACTGACGGAATTATGCTCTCGCGAAGTTAGCGACCTCGGCACTGTTTACAAATCGGCGATTTCGCCCACTTTGAGCCCTATTTTTGGCTAATTCCATTGTTCCAGTCGCCCAAACTCATAGCTATTTCTTTAGAACTCCATTTTTTCTATCGATTGAGTACAAGAAACTGCCCATTTACCGATTTCAACTACCTAATAATGTGGTCAGAAATTTGCAATTTGGCCAATTCACGAAAACTAAAAAATATGACAATTTCAAAATAAGGTCCAGAATGAACAATGCAGACATTCCTGGCTCTAAAATAACATTTTCTTTGCTCATCAGTCGTGTTCCAGGCCCCTCTGATATTACTCTTGCTTTCTATTTTGAATTTTTTATTTAAACAAAAAATTGAAGACTTACTAATATGCAGACTACTGCAATACTGTAATAATTGTATAAATAACATCAACCCATTCATGACTGCATATTAGAATGGCTAATTGGACATTTACTGGAAAATGGCATCATTTGCTTACTTTTGAACATTGGCAAAAATCAAACATTTCCCTACTTTGAGCTCCATTTCTAGGTTTCTTTTTATAGTAAAAATCAATCAAAATCACCTCTATTTCTATAATATGTTTTCCATTCTATCAAATGAGACCAAGAAAACGAGAATACAACCATAAATACTATACGAAAATAGACCACAAAGTCGGCATTTTAATTAAAAAAAACGGTCGGAGTTTTTTTTTTCTCATTATGCACTGCGTGCTCCAGGATTTTTTTTATATGGTGCACACTGACCACACAGACCCATTCTCTCACATGTAGGCCTACCAGCTTTCTCCTGCTTGATTTGAAGCCGCTACAATTTATGAGTATATATACGTCAAACACGGTACCTCGTAAGACGTATATATACGGCCGCGACAGTCAAAGGGTTAAAAATGTATTAAAAATGTTATAATGGTGCAAGGGTGACATTAAAGCAATATCAAAGATGGTTGACACAAACCCACTACCATTATAATGGGGTCCTTGTTTAGCAACGAATTCATTTACCGATGCAGTATTAGGAACAGAACTCCGTCGTTAAATGAAGAGCTGTAATTGTATAATTAATGTAAACCCATTCATGACTGCACTACTTTGAGCTCAATTTCAAGGTGCTTTCCGTCATGAAATCATATAAATTTCTGTAATATATCTTCCATTTTATCAAATGAGACTACAAAAATGGGAATACAACCATAAAAACCATACGAAAATACACAGCAAATTCGCTGTTTTACACCAAAAACATAGTCACAGTTTTTCTCTCACTATGCACTGCATGTTGCAGGATTTTTTTATATATAGTGCACACTTACCACACAGACTTATTTTCTCATATTTAGGCTCAAATTTACTGGTCATAGCTTATCTGAGTGAGCTGAGCTCATGGCGACTGACAGTGGCTTAAAAGCCAATTTATCTTTTATGGACCATGTACGGCGTATGTGCTTTACACAACGAGAAGCATTTCTTTTATTTGTTGGCACCATGGCTAGGGCTAAAAGTGAGCAGATTATAACAATAAATGGAGAAGAAGAAATTGGAATAACTTATGCAGCAAGTAGCAGCAGGTTGGTGTGGCGACCCCAGAAATTTGAAATTATGCTAGCTGAAATTAGTGCTGGATTATTGATGGAAATGGATTACTGGTTGCCGGATTAGTGATGGCCAACCTGTACATAATTCCCAATGTTAAAATCAAGTATGCAGTGACTGACTGGTAGTGCATTTGTATAATTTATACATTTTTTTATATCTGGAGAGAAGAATTTTCTTTTAGTTTTAACTAACACCTAATCCTTTAATATACGTAATAAGTCTCTTAACAACAGGGAAAAAATATAGTTGGTGAAGCAGCATGTGGTAAATATGTTTATTTAGGCACATGTACACATAAGTACAATTATCATACTACATAAAGTAAATAACCTAGGTGGAGATGCTGTCAGCAGTAATATATGAGATTTGATTAATTGTACCACCTGTGTGCAAAGACAGATTCAGTTAGACATGGCAACTGAAAGTGATGAGAGTGTCGGCCCCTACCTGTAATTTGGGAAGGAGGCAGTGTGTATATGCACAATACA